TATGCCAATCATTGGGTACAGGATCGTCGATCCGACTTTTTTCCTTCCATTTTTCTTAGCTTGGATAAACTTGACTTCAGTATAAAGTTCAATATTCATTAAACGAAAAAGTCGGACCGGACTTCCGACGATAACTCGGATATGCCACATACAGTCCGACTTTTATCCACTAATGAAATGTAATGCCTACCTACACACATGGTTCGCCAGTTGGCAATCCGGCGTTGAACTGAGGTGAAGAACAACGACATATCTCTCACAATATGCTTTTAGCAAGTCCGCAATCATTACTTGTCAGACTTAAACTTCGATTCGAATTCCGAAGATTGCAGACTTCCGGCGAAAAGTAGTCTGAAAACTGAGGAAGTCAACAGGCTTTTGAGCATGAACTCTGCAGACTTCTCATCCTTCACAATCAAAATGCTCTGTGGAAGGTGGCTTAACCCTCCACAGAGCATTTTGATTGACCATGGGAAAGCCGATGCACAAGCAGCTCGTTTGGAGCAATGAGATGGCCCTTACACTCCTTCGGGAGGTCATCCGGGTCGAGCCGTACGACGGCGAGTACGGAACCCTGACGTCACGGTGGAAGCCAATCGCCACCAATCTGTCCACTTGCTTTGAAGCACCCGTGCCACACAGGTCTGCCCGGGACCACTTCGAAGCAATGCTTGAAGCGTTCAAGTCAACTGACAAGGCCCAGCGTCTCTGGGGAACAGGAAGCGAGGAGGAGGTTACAGAACAAGTTCAACTACTGCAAGACCTCGTGGCCAAATGACCACTCCACACTAATACGGACCCGACTCGTGCTTCTGTCGACTTCACCCTGGGCTGAAGTTATTCGGGCGCCACCAAACGGAGATGCCAATTGATCAGACTAGCCATAGGCAGGATCGCCATAAATGACAAATCCATCAAATCGATTGTCTGCAGCAATGTACCTTTCCAAGTTGGACTGCCGCAGGATTGTGAGGTCGTGACGGCGACCCTCGATCGGACCAAAAGCATGTGAAATGATGCCATAATTCAAAAGCTCAAAAATATTAAAATATGTAATACCCGAAAAAATCTCCTTGATGTCATCGCCATATTCCACTGGTAATTGTACACCTTGGTCCTAGTAAAGGCTCTGGATGGCACTGCGATACCCGCTGATTGTTCCCACCTCGACATCCTTGTTTTGGACTGTCCATTCTATGAAGGAGAGGAAGTGATTCAGGTCCAGCATCGTTCCGTCTCGGCTCTCACTACATGGACCCAGAAGGTCGTGCAGTCCTGCCTGTACAACCCATTTCTTGATTTGGTTGATTCCAGATGTGTATCCATCCACTTCTCCTTTCTTGGGAGATGCGATTTCGCCGAGCACTGGCTATGGTGAAATCCTCCTGCCGAGGCATCGCAGTGGCGTCATTTGGGATCCTTTGAATCGATTCAATTGGCCACATACATTGGGTTTTTGTGACTTTTCATTGGCTGCTGGTAACATAGTGCAGTGTGCACTACGTTTTCTTCCTACATCGCGATATTATTTTTTCGAATTGTACAACTTAGATATTGTATGTCGTTTCCAATAAAATTAGTATTTTTTTGCAAACAAATCGAAAATGCAGTGCCTCCTGCACTACGATTCCGGTAATTATATCAATACTTCACTGCATTTTCCGGATTATGTGTTGTGGTTGGAAATCGTAATGCAAGTTCCACTACCTTCATCATTTTATCCAATCAATGAACTTATGGTTTTGATTGGACATAAATACACAGAGGCTCGGAGTGCAATATCCACAAGGCACATGCGTATCGTTTTGCGATGAACGAGTTGGTGGTGGTAACCCATAATCCAGAAAATGTCATGAAATATAGGCGAGAAAATAACGGCATCGTAGTGCACGACGCATTATATTTTCGATTTGTTGAAAACATATTGTCCAGGCTTTAATAAATTCCACTTACAAATGCCTAGTGATTAAATTTGAGAAATTATTTGTTCAAACAAGTAGGGTTGTTGTTGTTGTGCCATACTACGATAGTAGAAGTTGAGGTCAGAAAAATTGGGTTGGCAGGTTCGGTGGGTGTGGGTTGCAAGCGCTATTTGGCGAGCATACGCCGTGGCCGCAGGAGCGGTGGTGGTGGTGGTGGTAGTGTAGCCAGGTTCAGGGGTCGTCTCGTACTACTGTACGTCCTCCTAAGCGTACGAATCGTACGCTTAGGAGGACGGATCGAGTGCGCAGGCTCCAATGTCGTGGTTGCGTGGTAGTCACGGAGCCGAAG